TGTGTGTCGTGGTGGGGGGGGGCGTAGGGGAACAGTGAGGGGAGGAGCAGGACCCAGAGGGTAGAAGGAGTGAGGGAAGGGGCAGGCACCAGAGCGCAGAGGGTGAGGGAAGGAGCTTGTGCCAGGGGGCAAGGGGAGGGGGTCTGTGTGGGAGAAGGAAGGCTCCCATTGGTGGGCAGCAGTACATGGAGACCCTCTGGCTGCTCCACCTAGGAGCCGCTGCCAGAGGGGTGTGCCGGCTGCTTTTGGGAGCCACCTGAGGTAAGTGCCGACCCCCTAACCCCCTGCCCTAGCCTAGAGTTCGCCCGCCACACCCCTCCGAGAGCATACACCCAGCAACCACACTCCCACCCATAGCCCACACCCTCTCTTGCAGCCAAACTTCCTCCCAAAGCCTGACCCCACACTCCTCCCACTCCCAATCTCCCTCTCAGAGCCTGCACCCCATACCAACCTCCTGCCCCGGCCTAGTGAAACTGAGTGAGGGTGGGGGAGAGTGAGCGGCAGAGGGAGGGCGGATGGGGTGAGCGGGGGCAGGGCCTTAGAGAAGGGATGGGACAGGGGCATGGCCTCAGGGAAGGGGCAGGGTTTGCGTGATTAAACAGTTGGCAACCCTACCAGGTGGGCATGTGGAAGCCCTGGCCGTGCCACAAGAGCGCGGCCAGCAGCGCAACCAACAGCTCGCTGGGCACCAGCCAGCGCAGGTGCAGCACGGCCCTAATGCCAGGCGGACAGCATCCACGTGGGTGCAGTTTGTGCGTGCAGGGGGCCCATTGACTTTTCTGCCCCGGGGCCCAGAACTGCTGTCGGGATGCCTGCAGGCGGTAGCAGGGGGTGAAGTGGGGGGTGGGCTCCAGGGTGCAGAGGGTGTTTGGGGGAGAGGGGGAGGTGCCAGGAGGGCAGGGGGACGAAGGGAGGGGGAGTTCTAGAGGAGGAGAGGTGGGTGGAGGGCAGGGGCACGTGCCAGGGAGACAAAGTGGGGGAACGGGGCAGGGGCCAAGGGGAGCAGAAAGGGGTTGAAAGGAAGGGTAGGGCGAGGTGGAGGGGGGAGGATAGAGGCAGGGGCCAGGTGAGCACAGGGGTGAGGGAAGGGTAAGGGAGGGGCATGTGCCATGGGTGCAGAGGGGTGAAGGGGGGCAGGCCCCAGGGAATCTCTGTTGGTCTGGGGCCGTGTGGTTGGTTTGTTACTAAGAGCAGGTTGGTGCCGTCCCCACACACAGGACAAACACACAATAATCAGATAATCAAATCTCTAAGGATTGTCAGGCAGATCCTGACATGTGTCTCTGCATCTCACATGTTTCTGATCCTCAGACAGGATCCTGCTTCCTCCATCTGGGAGAAGCTGCACCAGGGGCCAGTCCCAGTTCACACCTGTGCAGCACGTCTGCACTAGGGGTTTGCACGGGGGCACCGACATGGCTGAGACACTCCTGTACCAGGAGCTGTAACCCCTCCCCTCACTGGGGTTATGGATCAGTAATTACAGGGTCACTGGAGCAGGGGAGTTGGACTCTGAGCTCCCAGATGGGGGCTCGACCCACTGGGCTGCAGAGTCATTCTCACTCCCATGCTCTGGCCCACAGGGGGATGATTTCAGCAGGAGAGATTGAGGGAGCCCCACATCAGACACCAGGAGCCCAGCGGTTCCAGCTCTCACCTGGGAGGAGGGGGAGGACACCCAAATTCCAATTCTTTCCCCACATCACCTGGGGGGATTGAACCTGGGGCTCCCAGCTGAGGGCCCAGCCACTGGGCTAAAGGCTAGAAGGGAAGTGGTGGCACCTTTTTCTGTTCATTAAAACTATTCAGCAAACTCGACATAGATTGGCAAATAGCTTCAGTCTAACCGAAATATAATTTTTCTGCAAACAAACTATTTGTACCCAAATTTCACCCAGCTCCACTGCAAACCTGTCTGAGCAACTAAGGAGCCCAAATCCCAGTGACTCGCAGTGAGTGACTGTCAACACCCCCAGAAATGCACAGTTATGGGCAGGCCAGACACAGGACATCAGCTATGAAACACTCCGGAGCTGCTATTTAATTTGCCCTGGATAGAAAAAATCCCCCTGGACTCCTAATCTCAACCCCAAAATCAGGCTGAAAATGGAGACTCGGCTCCAGCCTGAACTCTCTGCCCAGAGTGATTGTCCCATGGACTCTGCCAGCAGCACAGACCCTCTGTAGATGCGCCTGGGCTTCTCCCAGAGCAGATAATGATCACAGAGACCATCTCAGAGCCCCAGGGGCTCAGGTGTCTCCATCTAATGACTGCGCCAGCCAGCTCCCTCGCTCTCATTAACCAGCCCTGGGTCAGACACGCTGGCAACTTTCACACCCAGACTCTGGAGACACTTTGGGTTCATCTGCACAGCGCACGGCAGCGAGTCTGAGAACTGGGTGGACAGATTCAGGCTTGTGGGGCTCCCTCTTTGGCCCTAAAAATAGCCACATAGACGTTCAGGCTCAGACTGGAGCTCAGGCTCTGAAGCCCAGAGTGGAGCCGGGTCTGCCCCTCCCAGCGCAAGCGGGGACATTGTCTGTGTCCACGTCCCCTTCACCCCATTTCTGGGACAGGGAACAGCAGCCCCAGGGCCTCTCCCTTCACCCCAGAGGGCCGGGGAGCGAGAGCCCTCAGCCTCCTGGGCAGTGGGGCCTCCCAGCACAGGTTCCCGGATCAGCGTGAAAGTGTCTCCACCCAGAGAGTTCTGCGCACCCAGCAAATACCCAGATGTGCATAGGCGCTGAATCTGTGGGTGCTCCAGCCTTGGGAGGAAGGTGCGGCACAGGTGGGCAGGGCCACGGTTCAGGGACCAGTGGCCCCTCTACTTTTAGAGAGCTTGCATCAGTCCTGGGGAGAGCTGGAGCACCCATGGAAAAAAAATAGGTGGGTGCTGGGCATGCACCAGGAACCCCACCAATCAGCTCCTCCCCCTCGCCCCAGCACCTCCCCTGCCAGTGGTCCTGATGATCAGCGGCCTGCAGGAGGCACTGGGGTGAGGGGGAGGAGCAGTGTGCTTGGGGGAGGGGGCGGAACAGGGAGGGAAGAGGTGGGATGGGGGTGGAGTGGGGCGGAAAGAGGAAGGATGGGGGTGGGGCATTGGAGGAGGTGTGTAGTGGGGGTGGGGCCTGGGGCAGTGTGGGTGTTGACCATCCCCCTGGTACATTAGAAGTTGGCACCTCTGGGCTCTGGGATCAGGATCTGGAATGGTACTCTCCCCAGGAGTGATGCAAGCTCTCTAAAAGTAGAGGGGCCACTGGTCCCTGAACCGTGGCCCTGCCCACCTGTGCAGCCCCTTCCTCCCAAGGCCCCACTCCTACTCCACCCTTTGCCCCAAGCTCCTGTCCCCACACCACCCCTTCTCCCTGCACCGCCTCTTCCCCCCAAGACCCTGTCCCTCCAGTCGCTTCTCTGTAACCCTAACCCTTATGGCCAGTAAAAAGTGGGAGGCCAAACCCTCCCACTTTTAAAAGTGATGGGGCCATAGCTCCCTGCAACCCGCTCTTCTGGTGCCCCTAACTCACCCCCCCCCCAACTCCTGGGGAGGAGAGGGGGCTTGGGGCAGTGTCAGTGAGCTCAGTGCGGGGGGTACAAGTGGGGTTTTACACCCCTCCTGCTGGAGCTCTGTGTATTGAGGGTGCGAGGACATCACAGCGGCCGTGTGAGCCCCCCACTGTCCTGCCAACATGGCTCAGCCCTGACACCTGCTGGAGTCTCTCCCTGGGGAGGAATCGTCCCTGGGGCCTGTTCAGACCTTGGCCTCCCTGCGGAGGTGGCCGGTGAGGCTGCCATTAATGTGAGCTATGATGGGAGCTCCTGTCTGCTGGGAACCGGACTCTGAGCTTTTGCTGAGATCGGTGACTGGGGAGTGAAAGGCCCCAGCTGCCTTCACTGCCTCCCTGAGCCAGCTGGTTTCCCTCCCCACCGCAGTGCGCTACCAGCGATGCTCACACTCGGTGACATCCC